CATCTATAGGTACAGGAAACATTGATTAACAAATACAGTTAATCATTCAATATGGTTTGAATTTTAACATCTATTCAGAAAATATTAATTCTGTAAAAAAAGGTTATTTTTTTGTCTTCATCAAAAGTTTGCCCTCCATTAGTCAAGTTCAAGTTAGAAAAAAATTCTCATCACACATTAGGAGAGAGAGCATGAAATTCTTATTCTAATCTGACTATTTTTATTTTCACAAGTTACTTCGAAATAATTGAAAGAATACACAAACATTTTATATGAAGAATTTCTTGACATAGGTTAATTTTGATTGAAAAAGTGATTAATAATTTTGGTGAGTTTTCTTATAAAATAAATGGTTGATCTAATCAGATATAATGATAATCAACAAATACAATGTTTTCTTAAGAAAATAAATAAAACTTTCATATCGATCAATTTTGTTCTTTATTTTTATCATTATAATGTTTATCTATTAATCGAGTTGCATTTTTCAAATGACTATAATCTAAGAAAGAAAAATGTACTTTTCCAGTAATAAAAAATGTGATGGAAATCGATAGGAATCTTTTCCAATGCAAATATTAAGATGTTATTATCTGATCATTTTTCAAATATGTTTGTTGTATTAAAATGCGTTAAAAGACGAATTGGTGGTGAATATCCATCAACAATAAGTAAATATTCGTGATATTGATAATAAAACATGAATAATTACAATTGAATAAACAACGAACATATTAAACCGAATTACGTTTTCATTTTATTAAACGAACAAGACGTGAAATTAAATTCTAATTAATAAAATAAAATAAAATAAAAATTTTTTTCAAATCAAAATAATATTTTACTTCTATTTGATAAACATCTATTGAAGTAATTAAAATAATTAATGGATATATTCGAAAAATAAAACGATCGTTTCTATAAATTATTTATTCACTATTTCATTTTTTTTTATTTTATTTTATTTACTTTATGTCGTTGCATCCACAATAGACTCATCGACATAATAATTTATGATACAATCATTGTATATCGAATTGCAACTTTAGCTAAATAACATGTTTTTGTTTTTGGCTTTTCTTATATTAAATATGTTTTACCTGATTGTATATAACGTCAATCAGTAAATAGTTAAAACAAAATAATAAAAACTTTCTTTGATGAAGGATCTATTCAAAATTCATACAAGACTCTTTCTAAAATTGAAACTTTAATTAAGTTAAAGAAAAAAAGTTTCGTTTTCACGGTTTTTTAGCTGAGAAATTTTTTAGAAACAGAAGTCAAAATTATTTTTGAGCTTTTCAATATCTCATTAGGGCAGTTGAAAAGTTCTGACCATGACATATAAAGATGATCTATTCACAAATGAAAAACCAAACATATCATCTTGTAGAGCTTTTTCAGGCATGTCAAATCCTATATAATAAATCCGGTTTTCATACAACTTTCAAGGAATAACTACAGGGAATCTACCAATAAACGATTAGATAATTACTCCCGAATCCACATCTCTAACTATGATAAGTTAATGAATATTGTGCTCCTTAATATTAGTTAAAAGTATTTGTAACCTACGTAGCATTTCCAGTCATCTGAATGTGGACGTGTAGTCGTCTATCAGTAAATTGACTTTAGTTCTTTGAAAATCTTATGAAAAAAGGATTTATTATTGACGCATCTGAAAAAGCTCTACAACATGATATGTTTAGTTATTTATTTCTGAATAGATCACCTTATTCATCAAAATACTTTAAATATCGTCGTCAGAAATTTTGGACCATCCTATGTAAAAATTTAATTGATTTACTATTAAAATGATTCCAACTATTGCTAATCGATAAATAATATTAACATTAACTAAATCATTTATTATGTAATATGTCCATGGTTGACTACCTAATTAATAAATAAGAAAATTCTTAAATAAATTATTATTTTAGTTAATTTACCATGAAAAATTGAAGCATGTTTTGAAAATAAACTATAACGAATATGATTTAATGGTGCTATTACTAATTTTCCATAATAATATCAATCAATTAAAGTTAATGGAATCTTTAAACAACAAAACAAGATAATTAAAAGAAGTTTTTTTTTCATATTTAACTTACTAATGTTATTAAACCAGATACGATACTCCATTTTATAAAATCAATATAATGTTGATGACGAAATACAATATCAATAGCTATTGGAATACTTAACAATATAAAATAATTTACGAACAAAAAGCAATACTAAGTCACATAATTAGCCAAGTACACCAACATAAATCCATCCACATAATGATCCAAAAGCAATAAAGAAAACTGATAACTATTATACGAATTATAAATCATATAGGAAAAAACATAAATTTTGTTTTTTTCTTACTGATAATGTATTCGAAAAGCAACAAATATAAGCCAACAAAAGAGTATAGATTGAATATGAATTATTTATAAAAATACTACTACGTTGAAATAAAGCCACATTCAATATTGATAATAAAACACATTTACGAGTTATTCAATTGTTTATCAATTGCACTAAATATTAAAATATTTTAATCAGTAATCATACGATTCTTGATTTTTTTGTTTTTTTAATTTAATCTCGCTCGTTTCAATATATGACTTGCGTAACCGAATATTAATTCATAATTTTTTAAATTTTTTTGCATTTTATTAACACAAGGAATAATAATGCAATAGAAGGGTGTGGATATGCGTGTGTATCTGGGGTGTAGGTGTGGCTGCGAATGTCATTGCTCTCTTTACTCATACTCACACCCACACCCTCAAATCAAAGTTGATTCTATATAACTGATAAAAATCATCGAAGTTAACTTAGAAATGGAAGAATGTTAACAATTGTTTAGTAAATTGATAGAATTTTCTATTAAGTTCAATAAGAAGATTAATTAATCAATTTTGATATTGATTTAGTCGGTAGAATAATATAAAATTAGATGAAAATATTTAAAATAAATAATCAATATGTGAAAAGATTACTTTAGATAATACTCTTATTAAACATTTATTATAATATCATAGATAATTGTTTTCTTTTTCAACTATCAGATTTATTTAATCATAATAAAATATACGAAATATTTAAATAATTTATCTTAAATAAATAAATAGAGAAAATGATTTAAATTAATATCTAAATTCAATTTAAATGCATATCGATCTAAGTCATTGTTTAATGCGTTGATTTTAAAATAAATTCATATATTATATTTAAAGAAAAAGGCATCACTTTAAACTCAATATAAAAATAAATCATATGCATCAATTCTAGTTACTCATTTATAATCACCTTGAATTAAATCTATTTAGAATTTATTATATTGTTTGATTATTTTTCCAAGCATTACAACATATAGACATTAATTCGAACGTTGTTTATGATATAATTGAAAACATATATGAAAATATTGATCTGAGAAATAATTTAAATCTGATTATTCTTCTTTTATAAATAAATAAATTCATATTATTATTAAATAGATAAATTAATTGAATTTTTTATTTAACAACGAATATTTATAGTTCAATTTCAATTTATAATTGACTAAACTCGGATTTGTCATATAT